CCAATTGTGACCAATTCATTTCTAATTTTGAATATAAAGAGGGTTACACAGTTTTTGTTCTAAAACACTGGTATTCCCATTACCTCTGCTAAGCACACATTTCACAGTGCTTAAATAACAATGCCAACTCATAAGTCTGCCCAGGGTGCCAGGATGCAGTTGGCTTTTACCTAGTGACTCAGACTCACCTGTTCACACCAGCTGTACCAATTTGGGATCTGGGCTGATCTGATGTCCGGGTGTGTGCACAAGTGGTTTTCCCTGGTGTGCACTGCCTTCCTTGGTGAAAACTCTTGGAATGGCATCAAGTTGCTTGACTGCTTGACTGTGGAATCATATGCCTGCTGCAGGACTAGGCACAGTGGTCTGTGAGTGGGATACAGTAAAGCAGGAAACAATGACTGGGGGAAAGGACATGGGAAGTGGGAAGGGGGCTCAGAGGGCACTGTAAATTGTAGGGGAATCTTGCTTGCTTGCTTCCTCTTTTTTTTTTTTTAAGACAGGGCCTGGCCTTGAACTCACTGTGTAGCCCAGGCTGGCTTTGAACTTGAGGCAGTCTTGCCTCAGCTTCTTGAGTGCTGGGACTACAGGCGGGCACCTCCATGCCTGGGTCTGCAGAGGACTCTGAAGTATTCAGTAGATGTGGAGTAAGTGGGGAGGAGGAGCTGAGACTCAGGGTGGAGGTGGTACCTGGAGGCTGTGCGCATCCAGGCCTCCTGGATCTGACCCGGCAATCCCAGCTCCAGCCCATCCCCCGGCCCCGCCCCCCTGCCGGTCGGAGAGTCGCACATGTGTTTTCCTGTTTTCCATTTCGGTCCCGTCACCCTCTGCCTTTCTGCTCCTCAGAATCAACAGCTGCTGCCGCAGGAACCTTAGCTCTGGTCCCAGTAACTAGCACCTTCCCATCCCTGAGGGGAGTCCTGGGAGTCCCTCCTCTCACTGCTGTAGCCCAAAGGACAGGTAAGAGGTGGGACAGCAGGGATGGTGGGGAGAAAGGAAGTGGAAGAGGAAGATGGACTGAGCCCCAGAAAATTGGCAGGGGAGACCCTAGCGCGCCTCGTTTCCTAATGCCCGCCCAGCCTAGGAACCTTCTGCTGGAGAGGTCAGCTCTCCCTGTATGGTAGCCGTGCCGGCCATAGAAGTAAACAGTTTTCTTGCTTCACTTTTTTTTTCTTTTTAAAGGGACGGTCTTAGCTACAGTTGAATACAGAAAAACAAATGGGGAACTGGGGAAGGAGGGGCTGAGCGGCTCGCGTGTGTCTGTTTTGTCTCTGTTGTTAGGGGAACAGTTGGAGGCAGGAGGGCAGGCCGTGGGGTCTCGGGGGAGCACGTGTGCTCTCCGGGCTCGGCGGAGGAGCCCAGATGCTGAGCTTCCCGCTGGCTTCTGGGGGAGGTATGTGTTGTTGATGCCATTGGAAAGTGGAGTTTGGATTTGGGGTTCCCCTGACTGCTCTGCCGGGCGCTGAATGGTGGGGTTCCTCCTGCTGCTTGCTTCCTTGAATCCCTGGATGTGAAACTTCTTCCACAGGCTGTGGGAACACTGCATTGTTCTGTAGTCTCCACAGCGACTCCGGGACCCGGGAAGGTAATGCAATGCGGGAGGTCATCTCCAAAGGCTGCTGGAAAGCCTGGGGCGGCAGAGCCCCTTCCGGAGAGTCTGGGGTTCTGCCTTCCCCTGACTGCCCGAATGGTGGACACATCACCTTGAGACTCAGGGTGAAGGCGGTTCCCTCTTCCCAAGATGCTAGGCAGTGAGTGAGAAAGAGTAAGACGTCTCTATGCGAGCAGCCTGCCCGGCTGGGGTAGCCAGGGCTGACCTGAAGAGGCCAGAGCACTTCCTGCTGAGGCCGCTAGGGGACGCTATTTGCCGGGGTGTTTATGCCTCCTAGGCAGATCCCGCTGGAGATTGAGAGGATTTCACTTGTCTGATTGAACCAGTCAGGAATTCAACCTTGCATAACTTCTATCCGCAGTTCCTTAGTGTTTTCCCTTGCTCTGTCCCTCCGTTTCTTGTCTTGATGTCATATTAGGATTCGTGCCCGTCTCTGCTGAGGATTTGATCTTAAAAGGGAAGTTGTGCCGCTGTGTGGCTGTGTGTCTGAGTGTTTCTATTTGGTTTAGAAGTGGGCAGCCCCTAGCGGTCCCAGTGCTGCCACCCTTTCCCAGAATGAGAGGGAGGAGCAGCCAAGATGGAGAGGAACAAGCATTAACCTAGCCTAAAGGGCAGCAAACCTTTAATCACCTCCTCCCGCAGGTAATTCATGGGGAGCCACCTGAAGGGCTTTCCAGTCTAACAGGAAGCTCCAGAAAGGGATGGGTAGAGGATGGGACACAGGGCTTTAGGGAGACGAGTAGTCCTTTGATGAGAGTGCGCACTGTGTTTCAGATGCGCTCTCTCTCTCTACTCCAGCACCTTACAAGGGGCTTGGGACTTGCCTATAGGGCTGCACAGAATGTTTAAAGAGATCACACTGCTTAGCAGTGTCTGGTCCGGGCTCAGTAAATGCTAGCTATTATTATTATTACAGGAGCACCTTTGGAAGTGCTGGGACAAAAGGACAGTGGCTTCTGAATGGATTTCAGATATATTTGAGGCTGTTTGGGAGACATGGTCCCAGTGGCCCGTCTTGGGTTTGAATAAAAGATTTTGGGATGGGCATGGTGGTACACACCTGTAACCACAAAACTGGGAGGCCAGGGCTGGAGGACTGAAAGTGCAAGCCCCATCTGAGCAGTTTTGTGATTTAGGGATTCTATCTCAACGACAAAATTATCCGGATATGGTGGCACATGCCTGTTATCGCAGCACTCTAGAGGCTGAGGCAGGAGGGTCACTGAGTGTTTGAGGTGAGCTTAGGCTACCTAGTGAGTTCCAGATCAGCCTGGAATGCATAGCAAGACCCTGCCTTAAAAAAAATAAAGAAAAAGTGAGGGAGGGCTGAACATGTAGTTCAGTGAGGTCTTGAAATCAATCCCTAGTACAAAAAAAAAAAAAAAAAAAAAAAAAGAAAAGTTTAAGGGCTACAAAGGGACCAACAAGTAGATTTAAGAATGGTTAGCTGAGCATGGGGGTGCACTCCTGTAATCCCAGCACTTGGGGAGGCAGAGGTAGGAGAATGGTTTCAAGTTTGAGACCAGCCTGGGCTACAAAGTGAGCCCAAGGCCAGCCTGAACTGCATGGCAAGACTCTGTCTCAAAAAGACAAAAAAGACCAAAAAAAAAAAAAAAAAAATGAATAGGTTGAGTTGGGCATGGTGGTACATGTCTGTAATCCCAGTACTTGGGGGGGAGGGGTGGGGCCTGATGCAAGAGGATTGTGGTGAGTTTGAGGCCAGCCTGGTTTACAGAGTGAGACCCTGTCTACAGAAGTGGGGAGCGAAGGTTGTGTTTCTGTGAGCAAAAGGGAGTGATAATTTCAGGCTGATCTTGAGCTCAATGGGGAGCCCAGGCTGGCCTTGATCTCTTGGTGATCTTCTTGCCTGAGTGTCTTGAGTGGTAGGAACACACGTGTGTGCCACCGTGTCTGGCTAGAATACATTTAAAGTATACAATAATCTGAGCAGCTATTTTGAAGATAACAATATGCATTATGGGCTGGGGATTTAGCTCAGCGGCATAAGTGCCTACCTTGCAAGCAGGCAGTCGTGAGTTCGATCCCTGGTACCGGTAAAAACGAAAAAGACAAAAAAAAAAAAAAAAAAAGCATTATATGGGGCTGGGGATATAATTCAGCGACACTGACAAGTATAAGATTGTGAGTTCGATTCCCGGTACTAAAAACCAAAAATGTAATATAGTGACCATTGTTAATTCCTTAAAATTATAATAATAAAGTAGATAATAAAGATAGCATAAACTATGATTTCCAAAAAAGTAGTTAGCTTCTTCTACTTTTTAAGTCAGGATCTTATTTCTTTTTTTTTAATTTGCTAGGCAAACGCTCTATCTCGGAGCTACACTCCTAGCCCTTCCTATATTTTTAAGAGATTAGAGTAAACCTGTATTTGGAGAAGGTGTTTGTAGGAGTTTATGGATACTCTAGGGATCTGACTGTGTTTTCCTAAGGATGAAGGGGCTTATGGGTGGGGAGGAGCTGTAACCAGAGGTGGAGTTTACTTCTCGGTCTTGTTTCTTCTTCTTTTTTTTTTTTTCATTGGTACCAGGGATCGAACTCACGACCGTCTGCTTGCAAGGTAGGTGCTTATGCTGCTGAGCTAAATCCCCAGCCCCTTGGTCTTGTTTCTTTTAGGAGTTTGGCACTCAGACTCTGGGGGAATGGCTGGCTAGAGTTTAAATGTGGCCACCGTCTCTGTGCATGGGGAAGTGTGCAGAGTTCTCCGCTTGGGACACCAGTCACGGGGTGCGGGGTGCTCTTAACTTCCTCTAATCTCAGCTATGAACAGGCTCTGGGTCACACCCTGCAACCTTCCTGCCTTTCTTCATAGCTGGGGTGAGAGCAAAGTGGGGCCGGTGGGGCAGGAGAGCAGGCAGGGTGATCCTGCAGACCAGTCCTTCGCTAGGTGGCTCCCAGGGGAGGTGGCAGAGACTAAGGGCACCCACAGCTGACAAAGGAGATTCTTGAGAGAATGACCTCTTATCAGCGAAAGTGCTGAGCCCAGAGCTCCTTGCTGCCCCTTTGGAAGATGCAAAGGGCCTGTGTGTGAACCTTGGACCCAGACAGTTGCTCAACATTCCTCTTCCCTTCCCGCAGGCCCCCCTCCCTTGGCTGGACTTAAATCCATGGGCCTTTGTCTGGTCTTCCCTTTTTCTGCTGGCTGAAAGGAGAAAGTCAGACCACCGTTGTTCCCGGAGTCAGTTGGCTGCTGCTGCTTCGGGGAACCTGCGTATACCCAGGGCCAGGGAGTGAGTGTGTGTCCCTCCCTCTCCTCTGTCCCCACTGTCCTTGCTCACCCCCGTTGCTACTCTGCTGTGTCCAGTCACTTCCTCTCCTGGGTGCCTCTCACGCTTCATCCCGCCACTTGCCTGAGCAGCCACTCCTGTCTCTGTCCCTGCCGTCTCCTGCTCTGTTGCTGGTTTCCTGTCCTGCTTTGGCTGTTTCCTGGCCTTGGTTTTGGGTGGCAGTCCTGCTGTGCACCCCTAGGTTGGGCTGTAGGTTGGGCCACCCTCCTCTCCCTGGTACTGTTTTGGGTAATGTGATGACTGTGATGGATTGGATGGCCGGAGACCTGAAATGCTGGACACTAGGAATGGTGTCAGGGAAAGGAAAAGTAACAAGAGGAGGAAATTGCTCGACCTCTGCAGGATGGGGTGGGGCTGCTCGGCTTTTCCAGGGATTAAGATGACAGCTGAGGGCGGCTCATGGAGGTGTCAGAAACCTTTAGATTTATGCAGGGCTAGCTGGTGTTACATCTCAGCACGGGTAGCAGGTAAGGCTGAAAACCCAGGCTCAAGCCACTCAGGCCTGTCTTGTGTCTGGCAGTCTCAGGGGAACCAGGGTGCAGTTGTCTACTTGGTAAATCAAGTGAATTGGCCATCCTGATTCTGAAAGAGACATTTTCCCTCTGGGGAGTGAGCACTTGCCCTTGTTAATGCAAGCTGGGGTTGCTGAGATGAGCCAGTTGGAGATAGGTTGTTTGGAGGGAGGAAGCAAGAGAGGTCAGCGGAGGGGCCATCGGCACCATGCCCGCCTCTGGGGGGCGGGGGAGAGGGTCTGTGGCCAACGGGTGGCCACTCAGTGTACCGCACCACCTTTCTTCCTCCAAGGGCAATGCCAGGAAGCTGGTGAGGGCTTTCTTCTCCTCCACCATGGTTGACGACGGCAAGGGCAAGTACGAAGTAGCCCCCCAGCACGAGGCTGCCACCTGCCCTGTGGGCGATGGGGCCAGCCCAGGAGCTGAGCAGATAAAGCTGAAGAAGGAGATCTCGCTGCTGAATGGCGTGTGCCTGATCGTGGGGAACATGATTGGCTCGGGCATCTTCGTCTCCCCCAAGGGTGTGCTCATGTACAGTGCCTCCTTTGGCCTCTCTCTGATCATCTGGGTTATCGGAGGCCTCTTCTCGGTTGTTGGGGCCCTTTGTTATGCGGAACTGGGCACCACCATTAAGAAATCTGGGGCCAGCTATGCCTATATCCTGGAGGCCTTCGGGGGACTTCTGGCCTTCATCCGTCTCTGGACCTCCCTGCTCATCATCGAACCCACCAGCCAGGCCGTCATTGCCATCACCTTTGCCAACTACATGGTGCAGCCCCTCTTCCCGAGCTGCCACGCCCCCTATGCTGCCAGCCGTCTGATCGCCGCTGCCTGCATTTGTAAGTTGGGTCAGGCTGGAGCATTGGGGTTGGAGGGCTGGATAGAAACAGAAATATGAGTCCAGGCAGGCAGTGGGAGGGTGCTGGAGAGGAGTGCCTCTGGAAGCAACTATTTTTATTGGTGTTAAATTAATGTGTGCACTTGGGAGGCTGAGGCAGGAGGATCACTGTGAGTCCAAGGCCAACCTGATCTACATATCTGGGACCCTGGCTCAAAATTCAAAATCAAAAACAAAATCTATGCTGTGAGATGGGGATGTGAATAAAGTATTTGCCAAGCACATGTGAGACCCTGAGTTGCAGCCCTTGCACTGCAGAAAGGAAAGAAGGCAACTCATCTTTCCTTCGTCTTCCGTACTAGACACCGTTGTCGGTAGGTGTGCCCTTTGTGGTTTTTTTCTTGCTTCCTAGGGGATTAGTTTTGTTCTGTCTTTCTAAAAAAGGGATCACAGCTGAGCGTAGTGGTACATGCCTGTAATCCCAGCACCGCACTCAAAGGCTGAGGCAGGAGGATCGCTGTGAGTTCAAGGCTAGCCTGAATTACATAATGAGATCCTGTTTCAAGAAAAAAAGAAAAAAGGATAGTGTTGTTCTGTATGTAATTCTGTGGTATGCTTCTTCCTAGCATTTGTCAGTGATGTTTTCTTCTATGTACAGATCTATTTTTTTTTTTGAGGCTGGGGCTTGCTGTGCAGTCCAGGCTGACTTTGGACTCACTATATTGACCAGGCTGGTGCCAAACTCTCAGAGATCCTCCTACCTCAGCCTCCCAAGTGCTGAATTACAGGTGCACCACCACGCCTAGATGGATTTACTTTTTTTAATGCTTCGTGTTATCCCATGTTAGTTTTGAATATACGTGACTTTTTTTTTTTTTGTCTTTTTCCTTTTTATCGGTACCGGGGATCGATCTCACGACTGCCTGCTTGCAAGGCAGGCACTTATGCCGCTGAGCTAAATCCCCAGCCCCTATCCCATGTTAGTTTTAAGGATGCCCTGTATTTTATTTAGCTAGCCAGTTCTCTGTTATTAGCCATGTATACTGGTTTCAGCAGAGATAGTGTTCCAGTGGCTCTTTGCACTTTTCACGAGTGTTTTCAATTGTGTAGATTTGGAATTGGCACATAGAATTGTACATACTTATGGGGTGGAACGTGGCAGATCAACACATACGTGCAGTGTGTGATGATCAGGTCAGGGTGACTGCCTGTTTGTCTCTTCCGCTATATATCATTTTTTGTGTTGAGAACATGCAAAATTCTCTCTTAGTTACTTTCTTTGTTTTTGAGACAGGGTCTTGCTGTGTAGTTTAGGTTGACCTTGAACTCACTTTGTAGCCCAGGCCGGTCTTGAACTCACAACCATCCTCCTGCCTCAGCCTCCAGAGGACAGGGATTATAGGCGTGCGCCATCATGCCCAGCTGTCTCTTAGTTCCTTTTAATTGTTGTCAGCCTCAGTTATTCCACCTTGGAAGTTCTTCCCACTTCCCACCTGCACTCCTGTCTCCATCCTTCTTACTAGCTGCCTAGTAAGGCACTCGGCTTGTTCCTTCTTCAGATCAACTTTAATGTCTGCTTATGAGTAAGAACTTGTGGTATTTGGCTTTTTGTACCTGATTTTACTCAGCATAATGTCCTCCAATTCCTTCCATTTTGCTGTTAGTGACAAAATTCCATTCTTTTCGTGATTGCGTAGTATTCCATCGCATGTGTACCACGTTTCCTCTACCGGGCCCCGCTGGTGGACGCACAGCTCTACTGCGAGAGGGGCTGCGACAGCACAAGGGTGCAGATGCCTGTTTGCCGTGCCGATGTCATTTCCTGTGGGTGCATCCCCAGTGGTGGTTTTTCTCTTTCTAATTTTGAGAAGGCTTCCTACTGTTTTCTACAATGGCGGTGCCAGCAAGTCTCATCCACAGTTCCCTTTTCTCTGCATTCTGGTCAGCATTTTCTGTTACTGTCGTCATAACGGGTGAGAGCTCATGGTGAAACTTTTTTTTTCTGTAATGGGAATTGACCCAGGACCTAACATGCTAGGAAGTGCTCTATCACCAAGCTTCTTTACTTTTTTATTTTGTGTAGATTCTCACAAGTTATACAGGCTGGCCTCGACCTTGTGATCTTCCTGCCTCAGCCTCCCGAGTGGTTGGGAAGACAGGTGTGGTCACTGTGTCTGGATTAATTTTTAGTTGATTTTTGTCTATGGTGAGAGAGAAGGCTCTAATTTTTCTTTTGCATATGGGTTTCTAGTTTTTCTAGCACCATTTATTGTAGAAACTTGTATTCTTCAGTATACATTCTTACTGTCTTTGTCAAAAATCCGTGACTGTAAATAGGTGGGTTTATTTCTGCAGTCTCTGTTCTGTTCCATTTGTTTATGTATTTATTTATTTATTTATTTTGAGATAGGGTTTCACTATGCAATTCAGGGTATACTTGAACTCACTGTGTAGCATGAGCTGCCCTTGAACTCATGGCAGTCTCTTGCCTCAGCCTCCGCAGTGCTGTGATTACAGGCATGTGCCACTACACTCAGCTTTCTTTCCTTTTATTTATTTATTATTTGGGGTACCAGGGATCAAACTCATGACCTCGTGCTTGCTAGGCAGACGTTTGTGCCGCTGAGCTAAATCCCCGGCCCTCCTTTTATTTTTTATTTATTTATATATATTTTTGGTACTGGGGATCAAACTCGTGACTTCACGCTTGCCAGGCAGGCACTTACAACACTGAGCTAAATCCCCAGCCCTCTTTCTTTCCTTTTAGATCTACTGTATTATGTAATTTTTATGTAGCAATATTGAGTGCATAAATTTTTTTTTTTTTTGTCTTTTTCATTTTTATCGGTACCAGGGATCGAATTCAGGACTGCCTGCTTGCAAGGCAAGCACTTATGCCGCTGAGCTAAATCCCCAGCCCCAAGTGCATAAATACTCACAATTGTTATTTCCTATTTTTTTTTGGTACAGGGGATCTAACTCACGACCTTGTACTTGCCAGGCAGATGCTTATGCTGCTGGGCTGAATCCCCAGCCTTTCCTATTGTTGAACTGATGTTTGCCATTATATAGTGACCTTCTTTGAGTCTTTCCAGTTTTTTTTTTCTTTTTAGAGACATACTGTTTTGTTTTTGTGACTTAGGCTGGCCTCAAACTTGTGACGGTCCTCCTGCCTTCACCTCCAAATGCTGGGAATACAGGTGTGGGCCACCATACCAGGGTATTCTGTTTGTTTCTGGGGAGTCCATTGCATTTCCCAGGCTGGCCTTGGGTTCCTAGGCCCAAACAGTTCTCTTGCTTCAAGTTCCCCAGGAGCTGGGACTACAGGTGTACACCATTATACCTGGCTTCTTTATTTTATTTTACTTTATTTAGCGTTTTTGAGACAAGGTTTCACTATGCAGTTCAGGCTGGCCTTGAGCTTACTTCATAGTCCAGGCTGGTCTCCAACTCTCATAAGGATTCTCCTCCTGCCTCAGCCTCCCAAGTGCTGGGATTACAGGCGTGTACCTCCACACTCAGCAATATTTTATTCTTTTGCTGCCAGGAATTGAACTCAGGACCTTGTGCTTGCCAGGCAGACAGTATTCTGCTGAGCTATATCATGGCACACCTGGCTTCTTTACAGTTTTTGCAGTAAGGTTTATCTGATGGAAGTGAAGCTCTTCCTGCCTACTTTTATTTTTCTATTTGCCTGGGTCATCTTTTTCCATCCCTTCACCTTTAGTCTATGTGTATCTTGGTGAAGTCACTTTCTTGTAAGCGACTTGTATAGTAAGTACTTTTTTCTTGTGGGCTAGGGTTTTCAAAGTATCATTTGCATCAGTCTTGACTTGTTATCTAGCTCATAAATAAAATATTATTTAGATCTGTACGTTCAGCAAAACTGCCGTGGAGGTGCTGAGGTCATCACTGCAGCTGCCTTTTTAAATTGTCCCTCTTCTTTTTTCTTTTTAAGAGAGTTTCACTATGTAGTTCAGGCTGGCCTTGAACTCACAATGATCTTCCTGCCTCACCCTCTTGAGTGCTGGGATTACAGTTGTGTACCACCAGGCCTGCCTGTTGTACCTTTTCTTGAAAGATGCCCTTCCAGAGCTGGGCATGGTGGCACATGCTTGTAATCCTAGCACTTGGGAGGCTAAGGCAGGAGGATCTGGAGTTTGAGGACAGCCTGGGCTATCTATCTACCATGACCCTGTCTTTAAAAAAAAAAAAAAAAAAGAGCCCTAATTGTGTAATTGTGGAGCAGCTGACATTCTATCAGTTTGAGAGTTGTGGCAGTGGTGGTATGCAGGAATTTTGCACTCGGTCTATCTGCTCACTGCATCAATTTTTTTTTTCTTTTTTTCTTTTGGTACCGGGTTCTAACTCAGGACCTTGTACTTGCCTGGCAGGCACTTTGCCGCTGAGCTAAATTCCCCGCCCTGTATCAGTTCTTTCCAGTCGCCCTTATCCCTTCCTTTTTCCCTTTCATTTTCTCCACGCCCTTGTGCTTCTCCCTCTCCAGTTGCTGTTTGTGTGGAGAACCGGCTGTCTCCTGTGGATCCCCCTGGAGTTTGCATGTTCGTGTGCGTGGCTCACTGACCTCCGTCTCTGGGATGTTTGTTGAGCATGGCAACAGCTGGGGAGCCATAGGAGTTTGTGTGCTTTGTGTCGTAAGCAGGGGGTTTTGCCTTGAGGTCTGGATGTGACCTGTAATTTCCCATGCACTACTATGGATGATCTGGTAGGTTGCTTAGGTGGAACTCATTTTAGGATCTGTTGATGCTCAGACCCTACAACCATGAGTATATCCAGGCTTGATGAACATGCCTGTACTTCCAGTACTCAGGAGGCTGATGCAGGAGGATCTCCACAAATTTGAGGCCACATAGTAATTTTGGGCTGCACAGTAAATTCAAGGCCTGCCTAACTACATATTGAGGAACTCCCTCACCAAAAAAAACCTCAACCAACCAACCAACCAAACAAACAAAACATGAGTATAGAGATGCACGTGTT